GCACTCATTGCTCGGAGTCTTCATGTAGGCTGAGGGTGCAATGACAAGGTTACCTGCCGGTCGTAACCTTGGTAGCCGACTATTCATGTCCATAAGTCCCAGCTTGCTCGTCGTGTTGTTCCAGCACACGGCCAGTAACTCCGGAAGATGCCTCTTTCGTATCGCTTGATTTCTTCCAGGTATTCAACTCGTTGCAGATGTGAAGGTTCAAGCAGATTGCTCAGTCCTTGTCACGAACTCGTAGGCCCAGATCAAGCATTCACTCCGACATAGGCAGTCAAAGCTCAAGCTGGATTCCCAGCACTGATCAAGTTTAGTGGCAAGTCTGTGGAACCTAAGAGCTCCGTGTACATCCAGTCTGGTTTAATATGGTCGTGTGACACTGAGCTATAACGAAACAAACATCCGTAGAGTTACAGCTCCGTTCCTGTATATTCTTTCTTTGTTCGACTTTGGCTATGGGTCAGATAGGTCGAGATTGTGAACGCTGCTCTCAGAGGAGTTGAAGCGGCATCGCCCCCCCCCCCCCCGCTCCCCTGCGAGAGCTCCTGTATCAATCAGGGATCATTTGAGCCACAACGTTTTGATAGATGAATATGCAATCTGAGGCCATCGATAGCGACAACAAGATTGTAATGAAGCAAGACCACAAAGACTCAGTAAATTGCGGGCGGGCCGATACATTCGTGCAGCGAGTCAACGACAATGGGCAGGCGGCGACTTTTGAGGCTTGTCCACTGTCATCAGAATAACCTTGAGCCAAGCTCGTGCACTTAGGCACATACGGAGTAGTTGCTGGATCACCCGGGAAAGCTTGGGAGGACGTGATAGGGTTTAATGTCTTCGACTGTCGAAGGTTGAATACTGAGTAGGGGTCTCACACTATGTTGCAAGATTCAAACTACACACACCATTCATCTGCTGTCAGGTCAAAAGCAACGGTCCCCCCAGACTTGTACTCATCCAGCAAAGCATCTGAAGACTGCTGACAGGTGAGGTGTACCAGCAGAGACCGGCCCGAGGACAACTTGTCGTGACACAAAGTAGACAATGCGTGGAGAGCGAGGATGCACGACGTGCCAGGTAGTGCGATGAGTAAGTGCCTCTGAGTTGCGAACTGCCTAGAGTCTAATCCGCTAACTCGTTAATTTGGATCGGACCATCCGGGTAGGTTGGAGCTTCGAGGCCGTTTACACTTTCGGGGCAATACATAGAGGTACTCGTAAACGAGTCGCGTTCTGGAACCCTGAGTCTCATTCGATGGCCAGTGCTACGGATCTGCGGCATTCTCTACCCCTGGATCGCCTCGGGAAGCCAGGGATTGTGGTAATGTGTGGCTCGGTGGCACCATAGTATGTACTCCGTAAGGGCGGTTGGCGCATCTTGGTACGTGAGCTGGCGAGCCAATAGCACCACAGGAAGTGAGTTGAGAGGACCCCTCTCCAGGAAACGACGGCAGGCATATAGGCTCCACTGACAAGAGACAAGACGCGCGACATTAGATGCCTTTAGACTCCCTTGCTGAGAAAGCTCTCCCTGTGAAGCGGCGGATGAAGAAAAGCATAATAGGACACGAATCTTGGCTGTAGTACGGGTAATAGATGGCGATGAAATTCGCAAGCCGCAACCCACATTGCTGGACCCAACCAACCGGAACGTTTCATGGGTGGCCAGAGAGCCTTCAGCCCAGTTCTCCGTGCCAGGTGTACATGACGGAACTCTTTTGTGACTCAAGATCAGCCGTCCGTATGTGCTCCGTACCCAACGTAATCAGTTCAATCCCATCTGAGTTGAGGCGTCGTTGTGGCACCGAGTTCAAACTCAGGAGGAGAGCCAGGGTGCCGCCGTTTTGAGGCTCGCTTGCCTAGTTATTTCCCAGTCATCATCCGAAAGGTACCTACTCCTACGAGAATCATCTCTCGAATCAGATCTAATAATAAACGCGTCGACCTGGTGGGCATTGGTCAGAGATTTGGAAGTTGGAGTTGAGGTTCAGCCCCCAAGGCCCGTGGCCCCCCGTTGCCCCCCACCTACCGTAATACTAATGGAGTCCAACGAGTAACTTCCCTAGGACCCGAGTGGCTGAGGTTAGGACCTCCAGGTACCACCCACCACGTCCACGGACTGAGCCCACAAGTGAGGAGGGAGACTGGCGTGTTGGATAGCTGCTTCTGCCGGGGAGCAACGGGTGGCTAACTTTAGCAGCGGCGGCGGCGCAATGGCTGAACGCGTATGTGCTCCATGTGCGGGCGTCGTGTGCTTGAGGTAAGGTGTTGTAGGTAAGTGTGCACTCAAGTGCGTATTAAACTCACGCACAGCAACCTTTCAGGCTGCCTTTCCCATGCCAAGCTAAGCTTACAGGTTGTCGCATGTCAGCTGTCAGCCAATGTTGACACTTGGTTTGACTTAGGAATGCAGTGGGTGAATTCGACTAGGTATGTGGAATAGCTGAAGAAGGCACGAGGGGGCAACTAGGTAGAGGTTTGAAAGGTAAGGTACCGCAAGTCATATCACTGTCTGCTTACCTGACCTCCCTGTCGTAGAAGTACTCTGTGAGTCCTGGACTGTGAGAGGTGGACCGTAAATCGCGGACTGCGGACTGCCGAGGGTGAAGCAGAAATGAGGCGGTACTACAAAACATCCAGAATGGTAAATATCAATCCAGATGAGGTGCTGAAGGGCAGCGGCCGTTGAGCTCATTCCGGGACGGGTTCAGGGGTGGGAGCCCCATTCATTTGCCTCGGGCGAGATTGCGAGCACTATGGAAGAAAGGCTAAGGAGAAGGGAGCGTAGGGAGGAGTCAGGACTCATGAGTGAGGAGTCGGGCATCAGGATACGACACGCGACATTGATGTTGAGGCTTTAGATGGATGGACGGAAGGAAGGTGACGGGAATATACCTAATCAATTACAGTTGAGTCGGACCCGAATGCCGTCCTGTCCTCTGAATCTGAGGTATGGTAATTTGCGGCAGAAACAGTCGTGCAGTCTGTCAAGTTTCTGATAGTTGTAATCACAGTTCACTTCATACATGTGGCAAATGTGGATGGGGATGATGGGAAAAGGAAATCCCCTGAACACGACACGGGCATATGGGCACACGGGCGCCGCCTAGGTATACTGGGACGTCGCGCCAGGCGTGTTTCCGTTCCGTGGCTCCCGTGTTTCCTCTCCAGTCCATGAGCGGGACGGACCACCAACCAGTCCAGCCGATGCAAGGTAATCCTCTTTTCCCAAGTGACACTGACCTGCGGCCTCGAGACACGCTTATCTATCTGACGAGAGCAATGAGGCTGGGGCGAGCCAACAGTGGAGTGGGAAACATTCAAAGGCAGAGGAGAGCGCCTCTCACATTCAATAGGGCCAATTGGTGGTTAAAAACGCTACCATCGATGGGCAATGAAGTAGGCACGGTAAGTAGGGATAGAAGTTGGTGCGAGACATGATTGCTTCTCGTCCTCGATAACAAGGTACCAAAAGTAAGTAGGTAATTACTTGCTCTTGGAAAGATAGGGGTAATACCCGCCAGGAGGCTTTTGTCAGGAGCATGCAATGGAACGTCCCTTCTCTGACTTCCGTTTGGGGATCGCACGAGTCTCCCTCAAGTTCTTCAAGGTGGTGCGCACTATCTTAGCACCTGTTGGTACCTACTACCGGCGGTCGCTCTCGCTGTCGCTGGCTGCCATGGCTAGAACCCACGAACTTTGAGGAATTATGGACCGCCAGGTTTCCACTGTGCCAGCCCAATAGGTATCTGTGGAAGCTGTGTCCCGCAATCCGCCCACAACCCCGCCGTCTATCATGGCGGCATGACCCACTAATTACTTTTGGAACTTCCAGTGGGAGGCTCTCCCGAGCCAGTGAAACAGCTGGGCGAGGGCACGCTCCCTCTGCTTCCGTACCTACTCCGTACTGTTTTGGGTCGAGTCCACCAATTATATTTCCGTATCACTCTCAAAGCATCGTTCTGGAGACTTCTCTTCTTGCCGGCTTGCGGGCTGCGGCTTGCGAATTGCGGGCTGCGGATCGCAGCCTGCCCTGAACTGCCTCTTCGGTACCTACGAGCAAAACAATCCACCACTGATCAGAGTGTGGCAATGAGGGAGGAGGGCCTGCCTCCACCCACACAGTTACACTTATGTTGCCTCTGACACAGGCGAATCCGAAGGTACCTCCCATACCTTTAGCTAAGCGTGCCAATGTGGTCCCTACCTATCTGCGTGCGTGCTTGAACGGTCGGCTACCAGCTCAGAATGGGGAGGTAATACGGAGTACGGAGTACCGACTACGACTACCTACCTACCAAAGAAAGTAGGTGACTTACTCAACCCTTGCTGCCTTCAGGGCCTCCACATCTCCCCCATCCACTAACCCCTGCCTCAACCTTGCCCTTGGAAGTTGAGGGTCTCTACCATTTCAGCCGGGGGCACGGGGGGTTATTCAAAATGAACACCTGAGGCAGCAATACTCCGGCCGTCCCTTGGTTCCTGGCCACCCCCTTGGGAAGCTGGAAGGGAAAGGTCCAACGTGGTTCCCAAATTACAAAAGAGGCCACATCGCCTACTCCAACTACCCATCTTGTGAACACCTTGCACCTCTGCACAAAACAGCAAAGGACACGCTGTCCTCTCTGCCTCATCCAAGCACTTTCCGGCTACCACGCTTCTCTCTAAGCTGGTGCCTCTTGCTTCGGTGACTCACCTGATCCATATCTGACTCATTCATCGAGTCGTCATTGCCCCCAACATGCATTCTACTTAGCATCGCGGCTTTGGCTAGGTATATCATCAGAGGACATAAGTCGGCACCTCATTACTGCCTCCACTGGCTTCACGCATCAGCCTTACCACTCTATCTCACCCCCCAGATCTTCGCCAATTCACTCCACACCAAGCAGTTTCACTGCACGCTCCAGCTTCCAACCCCCTCTCCTTCTACTACGCTAGAGCGGGTCTGCTGTCGAGAGTTCAGCTCCCGACGCGACCAATATTCGACATACAATGGCATCTTGGGAGCAGCCATCACCAATGATCAAGTTCGAGGACTCGCCTGCCGAGTCTTTTGTTTCCACACCTGGCGAAATATACCCATCGCTATTTGGCGACGCAAGCGTCGTCAATGATGATACTCTCGATCCCTCCGATATGATGACACCGCCGCCCTTCAACGACGACGGTGGTCTTCCCGCATCTACGGCTTCGACCCCGGCTCCGGACGGCGCAGGATCATCATCTCCGGATAAGAAGCAAACGAAGAAGCGGAAGTCATGGGGCCAGGTTCTTCCTGAACCCAAGACAAATCTTCCTCCTCGGTAAGTTGCCATAACTGATGTGTCTCAGCATTGCCCTCCTGTGCACCTGATCTAATACATCTGGTAGGAAACGCGCCAAGACAGAAGACGAAAAGGAACAACGCCGTGTTGAGCGGGTTCTTCGCAACCGTCGAGCCGCCCAATCATCCCGTGAGCGAAAGCGACTGGAGGTTGAGGCTTTGGAACGACGCAACAAAGAACTCGAGTCGGCTCTCCAGAACGTCACCAAAGCAAACCAGTTGCTGGTGGATGAACTGAACAAGTTCCGTCGTGACTCTGGCATGTTGACCCGTTCAACGTCTCCCAACGACCCCTTACACAAGAACTCTGTAACGTTGTCTCAAGAGCTCTTCAGCTCCCACGACGGCCACCGAGCTTCACTAGACGAGACTAAGTCCCTCGTCGACGACCTCATGACCACATCTCAACCCAACGCCACTGTCAATCCCGCATCGCTCTCTCCAGAACTCTTACCAACCGCTGAGGGTACTGAGGAGGGCGGTGAGGAGCAGCCAACGGCCGAGACCTCTGTTGCGAAGTCTACCTCCGACCTGACACAACGTCCTGCAGCGATGTTGTGCGACCTGCAGTGTCATCTGTCGGAGGAGCTTCCGCAATCATGGCTGGCCTCTCAAACCCCTCTGCATCCGACCTTGGTCTTCTTTCTGCAGCTTCAGACGCTACTAGTCACCTCATCAGTGATTCTTTCAGTTTGTCAGCGGCCCTTGACGCAGATCGCTATGTCCTTGAAAGCGGGCTTCTCTCTTCCCCCAACTCCCTCGATTATGAACACGATTATCTGGTTGGTGACTCTACCTTCCTCCAAGACCCGTTCGACATCAACGAGTTCCTCCACGACGACGTCAACGGCGCAGCCGTCGCAGCGGACCCGGAATTCGGCCGCGATCTCACCCACTCTGAGACTCAAGTCTCTTCAGAGAATCCTAACCTGCAGCCCCACTCTGGCGCGTCCGCTCATGGATGCGACGATGGAGGCATTGCGGTTGGTGTCTGAAGGATGCGATGACCGGATCGGGGGATCGTCGGCTGAATCTTCGGCGCAGCGCGATAGCAGTCAGACACCACCAACGTGGATTGTCGGCGCGCCGTTGCCGTCCAGGGAGGTTCTCTTGACGCTGTTATGGGTTCTCAGAGTTGAAGAGCGGAAAATCAACCGCAAGAATACACTTCAACTAAGAGCCCATGCGCCCGATCTGGCGAATGATATCTCAACACCAACTAATAATCACATGTTTGTTTCGGCTTCCAAGAGGAAGCGGGGAGTGACTGACACCAAAGAGAATGGGAAGCGTTTTCGGTTGGCTTGAATGGGATGGGAAAATGGTGTACAGGCGCAAGCATGGTGTCCAGTCAGTATAGACAATTTCGGTGGACTGTAACATTATGTTGATTCAATGAAACGTCGCCTTGCGACCAATGATGTTCACGTCATTTCAGATGATTCTTTCCATGTCCCAATCTATCTTCAGCTCATAGTGACAGCTCGCTCGTATCTGTATTATTTATTCCTTGTCATGTCCAAAATCATGCTGACGACACAAGGGTGGTTGTCTTTACATCAGTAGACTGCTTGAGACCACGGACCACCAAGATGGTGTTCGTCGTAGGTCTAAATAGGAATCGTGGCGCCAATGCCGTCCGTCATGCAGGCAATCTATCCTTGTGCTAACCCCGTCGTCGCCCATAAAGCAATTACTTGCTGCAAGCTTGATCCTGTCACCAAAGCCCGTCCATCTCGGCCATAGCGGCTTCTTCATCTGCGAATTCTTCCTCTGCTGACTTGCCGGTGTGCTCCTGGGCTATTGGTGCTTGTGCATGGGTTGCTCCATCCGCTTCAGCCATGAGCGCGTCAAGATCGTCGTCGTCGGGTTCCTCAGGCTGTAAGGCGGACACTCCCATATCCTGCTTCCTAGCCAACGGTGTTGAACTGTATATGTCTTCTACATCCAGTATGTCTCCACGTTCTGGTGTTTCCAGGTTTTGTTGTGGAGGGACAGTTGCCGAAACTGGTGCAGTGGGGGGTTCGGCTGTTTGCTCTGGTGCCTCTTCCACCGTATCTTCTGTTCTGTCCTCGTTTGCATCCCATGGCTTGGGCTTGCCCTCGTTGATCCACTCCATGCGCTTGAGTACAATCTGCCTCTTGTGGCCGGCTTTTTCAACCATGCTCAGAGCGTCGAGAAACTTCGCCTTGGGGAAGAGGTCGTCAAGCCAAAGCTGGTAAAAGGATAGAAGACGCGCAGCATCGGAGAACTAGAAAATGCCGCCTCAGCACGGGATCAAAATCGCAGGAGAAGGTGGAACGGGCATACCTCGTGTCCTTTGCCCTTGAACTTGAGGTTACCGGCGCGTTTTCGAAGTTTAGGTATCCCGTTGTCTGACAGTAGCCTGTCAAAGATCAGTAACTCGTAGTATCGAGCATATGAGATACCAACCGAGCTTCGTCCAGCTTTACGCGTGGCACCCGCACTCTTTTAGCCACCTCGACCTCCTCATCAAGGCCCAAGGCTTCGGCCTGCTTTCTTTTGTTCGTGCTCCCATCTTTCGCCTCGGGCGGTGGGGATTTGAATGGGTCGTCGAAGTCGTCATCAACATTGTACACGTCGAGATCGTCATATTCGGGTACGGTTCTGGAAGCCATCGCTCGAGTTTCACTATTCGATCCGTCGTAGTTGTGCGGAATCTGCCCAAGAAGAGTCGCTGCCGCCTTGTGCATTCCGAGAAACGCGGAATGTCACTCGAGGTCGCGTCTTCAATTAAACGACGCGTCGGCGCAGCTTGGTCCTCCAGGGGTCTGCAACTGTCGGGGAGGTGGTTCATGTGTGCGCCCACTTAAGTGCAAAGCCACACCTATACTGGTCTGTGCTCGGGACTGTGTTCTGCCTCAGGCTGATCTAGTGGCTTGGCCCCAATCAGCGTCCGCTCATATCTAATTCGACATCTGAATCGACCGCTGAGAATATAGAGCTATCGGCCATCATCGACGCAATCGGGCCTCGCATTGCCGTCCGCTACAATGGCTACCGCACAAGCGCAGACTTTCACTCCGACCAAGGTCGTGAGGAGTGATTACCCGGTAAGACCCTGATGTATATCTAAAGGCAAATATGAGCTGACACATCTCTCTCTTCGCAAAGCTCATCGATAACGACCCGTATGCTCCGACCCGCCCGCCGCAGCCTCCATAGGATCAGAAGCTAACAGAGAACGACTACAGCCACTTCAAAAGAGTTGTCGGCTATGCCAGGCCCTCCGATTATCTACATGGTGCTATAGCTGCTGCCTTCGGTCCCGGCGCTCTCCTCGCCCTGGAGAAGTTTGCTCCTTCCCACGTTGGCAAGGGAGGTATGGCTCAGGCTTTACGCTTGGCTGGAGCCATTGGTGTGGCTGGTGGCTTTCTATACTTTTACCAGCGCTCTAGCTGTAAGGATATGTATCCGGGCGACCTTTACGGATGAAGAAGGTTGTATGAGGCGCAGAATGCTAACGAGGTCGGCTTACAGTGCGGTTCTACGGGGCCACCGAGAACGCTCGCGAAGTTGAGCTGGACATGAAGGAAATGGTTTCCAAGGTCAAGGCTGGCGAGCCGCTTTACGGAGAGAGCAGATTGACTCCTCACTTGCAAGGCGTCGCTGCGCGACAATCTAGATATTCGGCCTTGTTCATGGGCGTTATTCCTTGGTTCAACTTTGTCAACCACAATCAACATGGCGTTGATACGGCCAAGTACTATCAGCAGGCTGAGAGGGAGCTCGAAGCTGAGCGTACACAAAAGGCTAGCCCATGATATCATTCATTGGTGATCATATGGGTTCAAATGAGTGTGTATTATAGCTTAGGCAAAAAATTGGTAGCCTTGGAAGGGCATTTTAGCAATTACGCTGAAAACTTCCTGAATTTCCTTCAAATCCATGATGTCTTCAGATCTGACCTGCCATTGCGGGGAAGAGGCGTGGGTCTGCGCCAGTGTCGTTGTAACGGTTGCGAGTGACCAAGCATCATTTCTTGAGCATCACCATCGTGCCGCCCAACATGTCCACCCATGGTAGTGAAACTGTCATTATCACATCTATAACTACGCGCATGGCTGAGAGTGGATGTTAGGGCACAGAGGCTATTAGGACAGCTTAATACCGCCCAGAAGCCGCTCAAACAGTGAGGTTTCTTCACTGGCTTCATTCCATATTGCCTAATGCAGAAAGGCTGATACAAAGACAGTACGTTTCTCTACGACCTCGTCGTTGATCGATCCGGCACTGAATTCGGGCCCCTGAGCACTTTTCCGTCACTCGAGGCCTGGTTTCCCTGTAGACAAAGTTGATCTTCGATTAAAATATGCTTGATTAGAATAAACAAACTCCTTGAGGTAATTGGTCGCCGAATTTCTGTACACATATCTGGCAGCCGGTCATATTAACACAATAAGACTGTGGCGAGTGAGATCCACCAAACTGTTGAAAGGTCTACAAGCAAAGAAGTAGACGCGGCATTGGTGCTGGTAGGAGACGGCGCAGAAGTGGTGGCGGCTTCAGCTGCGGCTGTCGTCATCATTGTCTTCGTCGTCGCGGTCTGGCTAGTACTAGATCGAGTTGTGGAAGTTGAGGTCGCCTTGTCTTCTGGATCTCCTTGCCTGACAACCTTCAAGGTGTAGTTACTGGCTTCAAAGTGCATGTCGCCAGCGGCGTGTTTGATTTCGGTGCCCAGCTCGAGTTGCCCTAGCCATATTGCGCCTGACAGCATACCCTTCTTCCAGATATAGGTGAGCAAAGGTCCGTAGTCGGCATCGGTCTTGGTGAGGTTGGTGCGAGCCAACCATGAAAAAACATGTTGTCCCCCATCATTCCAGCCGTGGTACAATGAGAAAGGGGTGCCGTCGATGGTGACGGTGTCTTTGTCGGGAGTGGACTCGGCCCATCCTAGTGGTTTTACAGTTGGCGTCCACCAGGGCCAAATCATGATTTCAATGGGGGCGCCGACCATGGTTGAGTTCTCCTTGTTATCGGACAGGAACATGTCGACAGCAACGTTGGCGTAGAGCGAAACATCATCGAAAGCCTGAGCCTGCTGCTCAGCACTGGCCTTTTCTTTGCCAGCAACGTAAGTCTGCCAATTCCCTGTGACCTGTAGTTGAGTGACGTTCCATAGCTGGACAGGGAGCCTAGTCGGATGAGCCTTCATGTACGGGTAGCCTTTGACAAGAGATGCATCTCCGGTCCATTTGTAGGAGACACTGAAGCTACGGCCATTATCATGGACGGCCATGCATTGGTAGCCCGAACTGTCGTTTCCCCAGGCATTATTATTGACTGCCGCGTTTGTCAGTCAGCGGTCGTGGTTATGAAAACAGCTGCGTCGATTCAGAAAGCTACACACATGAATACGGAACTTCAGTAGAGTTCCACCAGTCTGACTGACCACAGAGGTCGATATTTTGTGAATCCGCAGCTACAAGTCCAGACAATTGAAATGTGGCCAGGAGTCCCAAGGTCGAAAAAAATGCAAATGCCATGATTGCCCAATTATTCCGAGTCTATCCTTTGTCGAAGCAGGGCGCCAGAGTGCAAGTAACGAGTGAGTACGGGCAAGTTCACCAGAGAAAAGCAAGTAGTATTGAACGAGAGTGAATGGAAACGTTTTCAGCCAGTCATGGTGAGATTGCGAAATCGCCGTGCACGAGCGTGGAAAACAAAATACGCTGAAAATGAGCTTCGAAACGAGTCGGAAGACGAGGGAGTGAGGTTCGAAGGTTCTCGAGAACGAAATGCCGTTGCCTGGGCGAGCCTAAGCGTAAGACAAAAACACGACTCTGTGCCACACATCGCCCCGTCGCCTCTTGCGGTCCCGCTCTCATACGAGGGCGTTCAAGCCATGATACGCCCAGACATTAGTGATGAACCACTAACAAACGAAACACCGGCCAATGAAACATCAACGATCGCTTACAAGGACCAAAGCCTGGCTGACGGGTACGAGCTATGCCACATGAAATTTGAGGAT